CCTCTCTCTCTCTCTCTCTCTCTCTCTCTCTCTCTCTCTCTCTCTCTCTCGTTCGTTTCGAAACAGTAAACAGGAACCCGCGATAAGCGGGAAGATGTGTTCCTGTTTACTGTTTCGAAACGATTTACTGTTTCGAAGAGAGAGAGAGAGAGAGAGAGACTGCGCCCTAGAGAGAGGAGGGGGGGGCGCCGCCCCTCTCTCTCTCTCTCTCTCTCTCTCTCTCTCTCTCTCTCTCTCTCTCTCTCTCTCTCTCTCTTTTCGAGAAACCAAACGGGTATTTCGAAACGAGACTCTCTCTCTCTCTCGCGCGCGCGTGACTTCAGCTTGTTTTCGGTTGTTGTTTTTTTTCGTTTGTGTATTTCATTTTTTTTTCCCCTTCTTTCTTTTTTTTTTTGTTTCTCTACTGTGTCCTCCCTACAGAAGCGGGGCCCGGCGTCCGCGCTACGACCGGGCCTTCCCTTGGCCGACCCCCCTAAGGCTGCGGCGCGTATAGGGGCCCGTGGCCGATAGCTGAGCGAGGTACTGGTGGTTTAAAGAAACAAAAACGAAAAAGGGGCAGAAGCGAGTCATCAGTGGGAAAAAAAAGAGAAAGGTATAATTTGCAAAATACCCCCATAAGTTGAGATATATGCCAAAATGCCCCAGGCTACCAGCCGGGCCACCCGGAGCACCTTGTTTGCCCGGGCGGCCCGGCCACGCAAGGACCAACGAAGATCCCAGCCAAAAGAAAAAGAAAAAAAAAATCCAAAAAATCTGAGAAAAAACTATGGTATGCAGAAAACTAAACTGAACAACTTTTGCCTCAGGGTCACATCGAATATCTTTACCAAATTAAAAAATATATATATAACATAATTACAAATTTTATTTTTATTTTTTTATTCGTTTTTGGCCCAACCGGGCAAGTGGTCACAAACCCCTGCCGTCGGTTGGAGTGGGACCCCCCATCTTTGCAATATACCCCTACCGGATACCATCCAACTTTGGAAAATGCCCCTTCCAAGGCCCAAACGGCGAGGTCCAGATTACAAATTTCTGCACCGACCTGACAGGGACATAATACACAGAATTCTGCACAACAAGGACATTCCGCTCTAAACCCACATCTTTCAGGGGCATTTTGGCATACATCTCACCTTTTGGGGGTATTTTACAAATTAAACCAAAAAGGAAAATAATTTTTCTGTGCTTTTAGGGAACAAAAGAAATAAAATTTTACAATAATTTAATTTCCAATAAATGAGAAAAGATGATAGATACCAAACACGACCCAACCAGCTGGCCTAGCTCAGTTGGGGGTACACCCCAGGGCCGAGGTCCCACTAGCAAAGAGGATCGGACCGAATGCCTGAATCTGGATCTGTTTTATGCAGAGATGCAGAAATGCAGGTCAATCTTGATTTCCTGCACCTCTCTACAAACACGTCCAGATTCAGGCATTCGATCCGATCCTCTCTGCTGGTGGGACCACGCCCCAGAACTGTTGAAATACAGTCCTGAGTCCAAACTCCACTGGGAGCCGATGCGTAAAATTCTTTTCTTTTCTTGTTTTCTTTTTTTTTTTTTCTTTTGAATTACCCAGGGCCGGTGCCCTTTTAAAATCAATCAATCAATCAATAAGGTAGGTAGTTAACGAAAGATATGTTCCATGAAATGGCAAAACGCCAGTTAAAAAAAAAAAAAAAAAAAAAAAAAAAGAAGTGAGGTGAGAGAAAAATATATGGCTGTCGCCGATGAAGAGAAGGCAGCATTTTAGAATACATGGAAAATAAATAACTAAAAACACGACCCCAGAAATGGGAGAACCCCGGGCAGAAAAGGGGAGGACAAAAAACCGAAAAAAAAGAGGGTTGAGAAACGGCTTTTTGTGCCATGCCAAACTTCCAGGTATTCTCATTTGCTTGAGGAGAGCATCAGCTTGCTTCACTTCAAATCTATTTTCCTCTTTTTTTTAAAGAAGAAAAAAGAGAGTTCAATTTTTTATTTTTTTCAAGGGAAAAAAAAGGGTTGAGTGATGGCTTTTTTGTGCCATGCAATATTTACAAGATTTACATTCGCTTGAGCAGAGCATCAATTTGCTTTACTTCAAATCTTTTTTCTTTTTTAAAGTTTTTTCCGAGGGAAAAAGAAAGGAGAGTTTTTTTTTTTTGTTTTTTTTTTTGAGGAAGGGAAAAAAAAAAAGGTTGGGTGATGGCTCTTTGTGCCACGTCATATTTACCGGTATTCCCATTTGCGTGAGTAGAGCATCAGCTTGCTTTATCTCAAGCCTAACCTCCTCTTGAAACGCACTTTCCACGTCAAAAGATTCGCTATCTGAGAAAATCCAACGTCAAACCAAAAAAAGGAAAAAAAGAAGGAAGAGAAAAAGAGAAAACGCATTACGTCAAAAAAAAAAAAAAAAAAAAAAAAAAAAAAAAAAAAAAAAAAAAAAAAAAAAAAAAAAAAAAAAAAAAAAAAGGTGGCAAAATAACAGAACCAGCAAGATCCAGCAATATGACCCCTGCAAATTAACAATGAAATTAGCAACAAAGGATGATTTAACTATTTTCTTAATAAAAAAAACGTATTCACAATTTTACACATTATTCACGAATGATTCATTTGTCATCATGACCATCTTCTTTTTTCGGGGGGGAAGGGGGGGGGAGGGGAGGGGAGGGGGCAGCGGTAAGAAAACAAAAACAATCCTCATATTTTAAAACACCAGTACCTTTGGCAGCTGTGACTCTGGCCGAGGTCCTACTTCTTATTTTCTCCTTCGTCTTTTCTTTTTTTTTGTTGGACCATTTCCCGATTTATGTGTGTCATCCTTGCGCAAGGGTCATGCTAATTTTCTCTGTGCCATTCCTTCTTCTTTTTCTTATTCATCTCCCTTTCTTTCACATTTCGTTGAGAGTGTGCCCTCACTACTTACCATTCTAGCTCCTCCTCTTCTTCTTCTTCTTCTGTTCGTGTAGGTGCTTTACTGCTCATCATTGAGACATGGACGCATAGCGATTGGCCTCGCTGTTTCAATTCAGGTTCAATTCTTCTTCTTCTTGGCACTTCTTCTTCGCACTTCTTCTTCCTGTTTTCGCCCTTTTTGTATTGGTCTTCTTCTTCCTCTTTTTTCCTTTCTTCTTATTATTATTCTTCCTGGTCTCACCTTTCTTTTTCTTCTTCTTCTTCTTCTTCTTATTATTATTATTATTATTATTATTATTATTATTATTATTATTATTATTATTCCTGTTCTTCTTCTATTATTATTATTATTATTATTCCTGTTCTTGTTACTACTACTACTACTACTACTACTACTACTGCTGCTCTTCTTCTTGCTCTTCTCCTTCATGTTTTCACCTGTCTTCCTCTTCTTCTTCTTCTTCTTCTTCTTCTTCTTCTTCTTCTTCGTCTTCGTCTTCTTCTTCTTCTTCCTCCTGTTTTCACCTCTCTTCTTCTTCTTCTTCTACTTCTTCTTCTTTTTCTTCCAGTTCTTTTCTGAGAGTGTGCCTTTACAACTTACCAGTATAGCTTTCCGCAATGTCCGGCCGAACAAGCATATCGCCTTTTGTGCTCTCTCCCAAGTAATCAATTGCAAACTTTGCATCCCCCGATGTGCCAACCACCTGAAAAACTGGACTATCCACCGTAGATCTGCTCTGTCTTCCGTCCTTTACCTCCTCCCTTCCCCCTTCAATCACCTCCTCCTCCCCCTCCTCCCCCTCCTCCCCCACCTTAATCCCGTCTCCGTCCTCCCTCGATCTTCCCTCAACGGATCCTCTGATGACGTCATCATCTGCACTGACGCCTTCCTCCCCCGATCCCGACTGTAACTTCATCAACAATCGCCGTGTCATCCTCTCCCTCCCTTTGACTGCCATGCTGTTATAATGCACGGCCACGTGGCAACGCGAGAGAAGGACACGTGGTTTGTTTGCATGGCCAACGCCGCCGCGATGTGCAACTGCATAATAATAACGACCAGCAGCAGCAGCAGCAACAGCCACCGCTGGCCGGATCCCGACGCTGCTCACCCACCGCCCTCCTCTCCTTCCTCTGGCACAAGTTGACAGCCGATCCCGACGAGCACCGACTAGAGTGACATCATCATTATTACCTCGCGGCGGCGGTGGTCCTCTAATTAGACGAAGAACACGAGAAAGCGCGGGAGAGCGCCGGAAAGAGCGGGAAGACACTGACGAAGTGGACGTTGCCGCACCATGTTTTCCCGCCAAGAAAGACGGCCGCTTTGCTCTCAAGCCTCCCCCCCCCCCACCCTTTCGACGAAGCGACGCCGACATGGTCTGTCGAGATCCCGACACGAGCGAAGAGTCGGAGCCAGGCTGCAGCGACCGTTGAGCTTGTCGCGATCCCTGTACGCTGGCGAAGAGAGCCCCATCACACCCAACAATTAGCGGCGCCGAAGGCGCCAGCAGCGCCCAAGGCGAAGGCGAGAGAGCCGGCGGCAACCGTTGCTGCTGCCAGGTGGACAAGGTGCAGATGCTGCTGCTGCTGCAGGGGGAGAGAAAAGCCAGCGCCGTCTTCTCTGCAATCATGGCCCGGTCTTTCTTGCGCGTTCCACGCGCAATGATGACGTCACCAATAATTGGCCGTAACGTTGGGTGCCCGATCGAGGAGGCCGACACCAATATCGCCGACTTGGCGCGCAAGAGCGGTGGGATCGCCGCATGTGGCGGTCGCGATCCGGACTTGGAGCACGAGCCTGAGTCCGCCAGCCAGCCACCAACACGCGAAACAGCGCAGCTGCGCGCCAAGTCCACAAGACTTGCGCAAGAAGAAGAAGAAGAACACGTGCGCCGACGGGAGGAGGAGGAGGAGGAGGAGGAGAAGGAGGAGAAGGAGGAGGAAGAGAAGTTATGGAAATCCGCTCTGGCTTTACAGTTTGCGTCTTTCGGACGGCAGAAAGCTGAAGAAGATGGCGCAGCAGATGAGGAGGAGGGCACGCGTAGCTCTCTCATTTGAGAAGAAGGACGGGGACGGGATCGCCTGCAGAAACAGGGTCTCATTGACAACCGCCTCCTGACAGTAATTTCTGCACGATCTGCAAAATCACCACGCATGTGTGAAGTCCGGAGCCCGACGGCAGACCGTGCCCCGCTGGTCTCTGAGGAGATAGCCGACATCGCCGCCAGGCACGCGCCATTCTTCTCCATTGGGACTAAGAAGAAATGGATAAGACAACCACGACAGCCGACGCTTGCTCTTGTGCCACGTGTCACGCGCAGGCGGCCGCAAGAAAACCCTGTAAGCGTCCAGTCTACTTCCTGTCCTCTCCCAGATCTTTACATTCTACCACCCCACACGCCATCACTTGAGCAACGCGAAGACACTGAACACTACCGGTAGCAAGCAAGCACGCGTCGGACGACCCCACAGAAAGACAGGGCACAAGCAAAGACGCGACGAGGAGTAATCGTTCGTTCATGCATATGTGTGCGTGTGGATGTGAGCGTGCGCATGTCTGTATGTAACCGCGCGCGCGTGCTCGGCCACACACACACACAGCGAGAGAGAGAGAGAGAGAGAGAGAGAGAGAGAGAGAACACGAAGGCTCCGCCACTTAGTAGCTGCGAATATTTTGTGTGTGTGTGTGTGTGTGTGTGTGTGTGTGAGAGAGAGAGAGAGAGAGAGAGAGAGAGACAGAGAGAGGGAGGGGGAACGAGAGAGGGAACGGTCAGACAACGTGAACAGGCCAGTCAGCAGACATCGCTATAGCTGTGGTGCCGGGGACGGCGGGGTTCTCTACATCTACTAAAACTTAGCTTCTCGACGGAGAGCAGTCGAGTGTAAATACGTGCCGTGCTCATCAAGATACGAGCGAAAGACTGCGGGAGGAGCACACTACCCAGCATTCTCCTCTATCTCCTTCCCCCCGATGGTGCATGTGCGAAGGGTTGTGGAGATCGAGCACACTACCTTTTTGCTTTCGACCCGTCGCCGCCGACATCATGACGAATGGAACAATGCGAGAGGAGCACCGATCCCGCGGTCTGTCGGCGCTCGGTCGTTGATCACCGACCATCCGCGAGGTCGATGGCGAGTGCATAGACGGGTAAGGGGCATTTTCCCCCCCTGATCGTCGTACCTGGAAATGCCCGCGCGAACGCGGGCGATTACAACCACCTTGTCCTTTCCACGTTCCCACGAATACATCTGAGGGCCCTGGTGGCGGTATCTTCAGCGAATTTGACACGATTGTATTGACATGATTTCACCGGAACTCGAGCACATGATCTGTTTACTCATCCAGCCGCATGGACCAGATTTCACGCCATATATGCTCACAAAAACAAGTTCTGTTCTCTCAGGGCATACTCACAGTGGGACATATAATCCCAAATACCCCCCAAAAAAGGTAGAGGACCGGTCGCACTGACTTACCGTGAGGGCACGGGTGTGCAGCCTGTAGTTTTTATATGCTTGATTGAAAAAGGAGGTGTTATTGGTGAGGTTTAGAAGTAGGGTGATTGACAAAAGGGGTATCAAGGTATTAGATATTTGACATACCTTGATTCATAGTTTGTGTAGAGGCTGGTGGTCCTCGAATCTTGGTCCATATGAGGTATATGTGTGTACTTTTTTTTTTTCTATATTCTTCTCTGGACTTCTGTTTGTTTTTACCTTCTACTACCTACTCCTAAGACTATCTAGAGGAGACCCCTGCAAGCATAGTTTTCCTCTCTCTGTGAAGGGGAGATTTCATGTTGCCCCTTGCCCCTAATGTTTAGGGTATAGGGTGGGGGCCGCCAGTGGGGGTCTGGCTAACACAAAGACCGAGACCTGCCAGTAGCTGTGCCTCCCTTTCTCATCGTCCCCCACCCTTCATCGAGTAGCAGCACTCTCCCACACACCACACACAACCCACTCGCTCTCACACTCACACCCGTGTTGGTCATAGACCCCACTAATACCGACCAGGGGTATCCAGAGGACTATCACAGTCCGTTGGCACTAAGTGCGCCGCAGGCAGCCATGGGGCTTGAACCCACAACCTCCTGAATGCCACTTGCATGCCTAACCAACTGAGCTAGGCTGCTATGTGTGTGTGCTTGATTGTTCGTTATTGTAAGTTTTATTTTTTTATAAAATAAACAACAGGATGCCCGCGGACTGCGGCGGGGACCAAGAGCAGGGGAACCAAAACACACACACACACACACACACACACACACACACACACACACACACGCACACAAACACATTGCAATGAATCTTCCATCAGCGGCCTAGCTCAGTTGGTAAGGCATGCACCTTCTTGGGAAAGCTTGGCGCACGCCACCTAGAGATATGTCGTTGGTCCCCCAGAGTGGTATTGAGCAGAGATTGCTGATGTTCATGATAGGGGGAGGGGACCGGAGGCGAGGCACAGTGACTGGCCCATCGAAGAAGCTCGGTCCTGATGCTACCGGCTGACCCTTCGCCGGTATCGCCCACCTGCTGTAGCAGGTGTCGCACCTGCTGGTGGGTGCAGCTCCCGCATGTTCCCTCGTTGGAGGCTTGAGCACGGATGTGGCTACGGGGTTCCCCGTAATATTATAATGACAATGAAAAAGGCCTCCGTCCCGTCCAGATTTGGCAGGTAATTGAATTGGTTGGGCTTACAGAATTAGCCTTATAAAAATAGAAATAAAAATGAATCTTCCCATTTTGTAGCGGAAGACTCATTCCGATTTTGTTCATACTATCGATGGAAGTAGCCTCTCTTTATCTCTCTGCAATCATGGCTGGAAAGCAGTGTATATTTCAATATTCTACTGGAAGATTCATTTCGATTTTGCTCATCCTATCGATGGAAGTAGCCTCTCTCTATCTCTCTGCGTTCATGGGTG